TAGAAAAAAAAAGTAAAGTCTTGTATTAAAAAAACACCAAAAACTAATTTAAGGCCCCCGAGTGCATGCACATATAAACGAAAATACGTGACAGGAGCGCCTATGTGCGAAAACAAATAATTTTAGGGCCATTAATCACTGATAACACTAAATTGAGCGGTAAAAGCGTTGAAAAGCAATTTTAGGCATCGTAATGTTTTGCGATTTTGCGGACGCACACAATTTTAAAGCTTGGTGTCTATTTACCCAACGTGACCCCCAACGTGACCCCATCTTTTATGTTTTATTGGGTACTGATAAATGTTTTATAACATAAAGTAGGGAAAACTGGTGATTAAATACCACCAAAAGAAAACTCCTATGTGTCCCCCAAAAATGGTATAAAATTAATTTCAGTACAGCATCGCATGACGGAATAAATTTCAGTCAGAGTACCGCAGTGCTGAATACTGAAAAATGGCCTGGACAGGAAGGGGGTTTAACACCCCGGTCAGCAAGTGGTAAAACATCCTTTTTTTTTTTACCTCTGCATGCATGCACACACTGTCATTGGACTGCACAGAAGAAAGGCAAAGGTAAGAAATTAAGAAAGTTAATGAGAGTGGCTCTGTACCTTGTGATCAGTGGCCATCTCTCTCCTTCCCCAAAAAAAAAACACAGAGCCATTTTGGGAGAAAGGTGAGAGGTAAGTGCTGATCCAGATATTACAATGTTGCTTATTACAGTACCACCAGTGGCGGAACTACCGGCGGTGCGGCCGGTGCCGCCGCCCGGGGCCCAAGGCAGTGGGGGGGACCACTGAGATCCACTCCCTGGGAATTGTGGGCACTGGGCAGAGGAGACTTAGCAGGGCCCTTTAAAGTCGGCCGCAGCGCCCTTTAAAGTCGGCCGCGGCAGTGGCGATCACTTTTTCCGGTGATCGATCAAAACTACGAACTTATCGAGTTGTGGGACCGCATTACTTCCGGTTTCCTCACAACTACGAGGTTTTTAGACAAAACATGTTGTGCACGAGCGCCATCCACGGCATTGCCCTATAGACATAGACCACAGCAATAAAGTAATAAAATGATGTAGGATGACACTAAGCCAGCGCGTTCTTTATCTCAGGTGCCATTGGGGGAGGGGGTCCTGTATATGTGTACAGTGAGAAGTGTGGCTCTGTATATGTATGTCACAGAGGGCGTTGTGTATAGGGGGGGTCATGAATATGTGTACATTGACAGGTATACCTGTGAGGCTCAGTATAAGCATTGAGAGCTGCGCAGCTGCCATTGACTCTGCACAGACCACCTGTCAGCCGCATAGCCACCAATAAATCCGCACAAACCACCTTTAACCCCACACAGCCCACCATAGAACCTGTAAGCCACCTGAGAATCTGTACAGCCCACCATAGACCCTGCAAAGCCCTCCTGAGACCCCACACAGCCACCTAAGCCCTGTGTATAAGCAGCAATTGCCTTAAAAAAAAAAAAATACTCTTTTCACCTTTTATTAATTCTTTGGTGGTAAGCAGGGTTAGTGGTAGGGGGGGGGTGGGCCCGAGAAAAAATCTTGCACCGTGGACCTTTTTTTCTTAGGTCCGCCACTGAGTACCACATTCTACAGCTGATCACAGACAGTGCCAGTGTTTCCAGTGGGGTGGTCCTCTAAGTGGCGATTCCAGTGACCGGAGCAGGAGGGCGATGTGGTGCCGTCCGGAGAGCCGAGTGGCAGAGGAGCTGCTGGGATGTCACAGTGAACGGCTGTTGACGGAAGTGCTGTCTGTGGGGAGGTTGTGTCTCCAATGTCCAATGGGAGCGAAGGTGGAGTTCCAATGATAATGGTAATGGACAGCTGTTGGGAAGTAGGATAAATTGCCTAAAAATCATGTCACACCCTCATATACATTAGCTTTGTGTTCTGCTATTCAGTTTCTGACATTGATACTGCAGTACATATATACTTGTCCTACCAGGTTGGCACCTCCAGGAAGCAATGACAGGTACTCTGACACAAAAGATTTAAAGCTGAAATTCAGAAAGCTAAATACTAAGTCGTTATTATGCTCTTCCCTCCTGTAAGCATATTTACATGCTTGACTGATAGCATTGCTAAATGCAGTAGCGCCCTTCCTGTCATAGTCGGTGAACTGCTACACAACAGTGACATGCAGAGTGCGTTCGGAGCTGGGTGACGCATTCCCCTTGCCTGCGGCAGCCCAGCCCACTGACGCCCAGTCCCCCAACGTGGTCACCAAGCTATGTGTGAAGGAGGGAGAAAGAAGATGGGGAGAAGAAGGTCCCTCACTTGCTCGTCACTGATGAGGCATCGAGATCGATGTCCTCAGTGGTTTTTTATTTTTGATTGGACAGCTTGGACCAATGGCGCTTTGCCATTGGTCCAATCCATCCACAGAGCTCAAGCCTGTGGATGGATTCTGGTGCCAGCAGGGTCACACAGCTCAAACTTTGGCCACATAAGCAGGATGTGAACAAAATTCGAGTAAAGTATGACCAGCTTTAGTTCTAAAATACATTTATTAATTTTTAAAGAATACGTTTTTCAGATTATTTTTAAATATGTTTTATATAAATAAATAGTGTATGTATAGATATATACAACATACCAAAGTATCGTTGCTGATCAAGTTCATCCTGATCAGCAACGATATAGTGCCCCAACAAGACAATGTGCCATGCCACGGTGCTCGTATTGTGCAGGAGTGGTTTCAAGAACATGATGGAGAATTTACCTTGCTTAGGTGGCCCCCACAATCACCAGATCTCAATCCAATTGAGCATTTGTGGGACGAAGTTGAAAGAGCCATCAGGCAGCTGGTTCCACAACCATCAAATCTCACAGAACTGGACAGTGCTATTCATCAGGCATGGTGTCAGATTCCTTGCATCACCTTTCAACATCTCGTGGAGTCAATGCCAAGAAGAATTGCCGCAGTATTGAAGGCAATACCAACGAAGTACTGATGGGGTGGTCATGATAATCTGGCCACTCAGTGTATATATATCTATATATATATATATAGATATCTATATAGATATATATATATTCTTTTTAAATTATATAATGTTTTTGTATGTCTGTCTGAAGTTTATTTTTAAAAGACAAGTACCGAATACATCTATACAAGTGCTTAGAGATTGTTAAGTACAAAATGAAATATAGACAACTGATCATGAACAGCAGAGGGCATCACATTCATTTGTTAATGTTTATTATTTGCACAGGAAAAGGCACACTGACAAATATTGCAAAGTCCATAGGCACATTGGATACTGAAGCGTATCAAGCCAAGCAGAATTCAGCTGAAATCAGTGAGCATGGTTTGGTGTATATGTTCTTTACAATTCAGGATTTAGGGATTGCTGAAGGCTGGCAGTAACAGTAATCCAGAGAAACAGTGGCAATTCTTGTTTGCAGAACAGAATTCTGACCTGTTTAGGGTTGGTCAAAAGGGTGTTGCCACAGATATACTTTCATGTATAAGTGTTGTATGTTTTATATAAAAGGAGTGGTAGGATTTTTCTCTTAGTCAAGCTAAACGTTACAGACTCCATCTTGTTTTTTGCTTTTGGCCATGTAGGTTTCCAAATGCAGCCCAGCATTTAAGATGGGAAAAAAAAAAGTTCATTTATGGATTATTTTATCCTGTTTCACACGGTCCCTGTAGATCTGACTGTCCTTTTTATATGTCACATACTGGTTTCCACCTGTACAGCACTAATTCTCTATCCAGCAATAACTTCAACATAGTTGGCAGGATACAATCCAACTTGGCCACGGTCTGTAACTCCTTTGCACCAACCTTGTTCATCTTCATCTTCGATCTTTGTGAGTTCATCACCTAATTAAAGAAATACCATTAGAGGAAGAAGGTAGTGTAAACCAGCAAAGAAGTTGGCAATAAAATGTTCAAATTCAAGGCTAAGTGTTCAAATGTCTTGAATGTCAATGTATTACCTATGGACAATATTTACTGCTTAGGGGACAAGCCAAAGAATTAACCAGTTAACTGGTTTTGTCATATTGCCCAGAAAAGCTTTCCCTGCAAAGAAGCTGGTTCCAATCCCCAGCATGGTTGCTATCTGCAAGGAATTGGCACGTTCTCTTTGTGCTTGCGTTGGTTTCCTCGAGGTACTCCGGTTTCCTCCCACGCTCCAAAGACATGCTGAAAGGTTAATTGGCTCCTGTCTAAATTTGCCCCATATGCATGTGTTATAGGGATCTTAGATTGTAAGCTCCTTGAGGGCAGGAACTGATGTGAATGTGCAACTATGTAAAGAGCTGTGTAAATTATCGGCGCTATATAAATACCAATAATAAATAAACAAATATTTACCTATGTAATTGCCCGTACCAGTACGCAAGTCTGTAATGCAGAGAAATTCTCCACTAAAAGCTCATTAGAATCTGACACTTCTGAGAGTGTTGACATCCTGGTCCCCTGCTGTGCTCAACGGTTCCTCCTGACCCTTATGTCCCTACCATGTTCCGTAGTGATTTAGGGGTGAGCGAGAGCAGCCACTGAGCATAGTAAGTGACCAGGAATCCTGGAAGTGTTGTTTTTTGCAGAGACTTCCGCAGACTATTTATCTGTGTTAGAGTTGTGTCCATGGTGCAGACAGCAGGAATAATATGTTTTTACTTTCTTCTTTGCAGAGACAGCTTTTTCAGCCCTTTGATTTTAGTGAGTCACTGTAATACGCTATTGCAACTTTTTAAACACAGGCAAAACAGTCAAGTTTCTGAGGAACGTTCCACTGGCTTATAATGTTCCAAGACACTTTGGGGTCTGTTTATAAATGTTTTCGTACAAGATTCACACAACTTTCACCCAAGAATCACACATTTACTAAATAAATAAATGTGTGAACTAATTAAATGTGTGAATCCTGGGTGAAAATTGGGTGAATCCTGGTTGAAATAATTTATACATAGACTCCTTTGTATTAGAACCGAGAACAGAATGATTTATTTCCACCATCAAAAGCCTTCCTTTCCACCTTACTGTACAAAAATGGTTTAAAAAATATGTAAACATTACTATATTTACACTAAATTCCTTGGTCAATAAAGAATTAAATGGGGAGTGGAAGTTAGCACTTCTACCCAGGGGCGTCCCGAGGTCGGGCGTCACCCGGTCTCTAGACCGGGTGACCCCCCGTCGTGTTGTCATCGCGCATGCGTGACCATCTGATTGATGCCTGCCTGCGTCCATCTTGGTGATGGACGCCAGCAGAGAGAGGAGGGGACGTTCACCCGGCGGGATGAGGTATGCCGCCGGGTCCCCTCCTCTCTCCTGACACTATCGGGCTCTCGGTCCATGACCGAGTGCCCGACATTTTAGAGGGGGGTGACACCAAAATGACTGTCAGTGTGTCACTGCACCCCCCTTGTGACGCCACTGCTTCTACCTTCTCTATATTAGTATGTATTTATACACCTATGCCCATATTTAGCATGTGTATTGCATTGATATATGTGTACTATGCACTATTTCAGCAGTTCTCAACCTGTGGGTCACGACCCCTTCGGGGGTCGAATGACGATTTGCCAGGGGTCACCTAGCGGCTCCCGGCCGCCCGGGAGAGAAACACTTTCTCCCGGAGAGGTTTACTCTGTTGTGTTTTATTTTGTTGGTTTTTTTTATGACATCAAGGCCACAGGCCGCCGTCAGTCAGAAAAGAAAAAAACACCACCATAGGAATGCATAGCTAGATTCCTATTTGCTATTTCACTTTGCAATAGCCAATAGCAAACTAGCTATTGCACCCACGCTCCCCCTCTGCTGACAATCAGCAGAGGGGGAGCTGAAGTTGTCCATCAGGTCCCCTTCTTGTGATTGACAGCAGCAGAAGGCGGGTGCAATAGCTAGTTTGCTATTGGCTATTGCAAAGTGAAATAGTCAATAGGAATCTAGCTATGCATTCATATGGTGGTTTTTTCATTTTATTTATTCTGACGGCATACGCCAGTGGTTCTCAATCTGTGGGTCACTGTGTGATTTCTGCTGTGCTAGGTGAGAGTCCTCCTCAGCCCTCTCCTAGCGCAGCAGTGTCAGTTCTCCCTCCCTGCCGCCAGATGTCGCTGCAGCAGCCGCGTCATCCCTAACCCTACAACTTGGCAAATGTTACTAAGGGGTCCCAGCCCTAGAAAGGTTGAGAACCACTGCACTATTTAAAATCCTTTTATGAATATGTTCTATCATTTGTATTACTCTGTACACAATGGGTAAAAGAAAATTTGATTATAACGCATTGCAAGGATAACATAATTAATTAATTATTTTCTTCTCCTTTGACAATAAGTTCAATCTCCTATACACTGTACATTGTAGCTCTAACAAAACTAAATTCTATCAGTTTTATGACATAAAAACAATGTTTTTACTGAATGTCATTGTGATTTTTTTATGTTATTGAATTCCTTGTAGTATTAGGATTTTATTATACTTGCTCTTTTATCTTTGTATCACACTGGTGGATGGAAGGTTTAAAACATTTGTCAGCGTATTTGTGCTGCTTCTGTCCTTTCTGAGAGATTTCCCTTTACTCCCTTTCCTAGACCCAACAGGAAGTGAGAGGAAGTCTCTCTTAAGTGAGTGAAATTCCCTCAGTTGTCATGGGAACAAGTGTTTACAAGGTACCCTCACCTGTTGTTCTGGTGACAGTTCTAAAAGAATGGATTACTTTCGCATGATTTTCTGTTTTAGTGACCGTAGTCACCAGAACAAATATAGAGGGTGAATGTACCCAGTGTGGATACAGGCAGCAATAAAAACCTAAGAAGGGTTGCTACTCTTTGCTATTCTATGCAAAACTGAAGAAAATAGTTAGCTTTACATATGTTTTGATATTTTTTTATTATTGCTTTCAATAATCTGTGTATAAATAACTTCTAATTTTCTGTATTTATTGACTATAATAAGGGTCAGTGGTGTAACAACCGGGGGGCAGCCGGTGCGCTGGCCCCGGGCATAAAGCTGAAAGGGGGCGCCGGGCGCCGAAAATGGCACCTTTGGCCAAATGCCGAAAGTGCCATTTTCCTGCCGTTTTGTCAGCACAGCCGTGATGTCTATCCTCACCGCTGGGCGCTGCTCTTTGTCCCAGCGTGGAGGACAGAAAGTGACAGCCGGCCGAGCGCTGCGGGAGGAGACTGCCATGAGGGGCCGGTGTCTCTCCTCCCACACCGCTCAGCCGCCTATCACGGTGCGGCAGAGCAGTGTGGGGGCGGAGACAGCCCACGCTGTCACAGGAGGCTGGGCTCTCCTCCATGCTCTGCTCGCTTAGCCTCCTGTGACAGCGTGCCGGAGAGCAGGCTACATACACTCAGCCATCAGTGATCGCTGAGTGTTTGTAGATAATTGAGGATATGGTATGGTTACTGTATCCTCAATTATGAATGAATGGGAAGTGATCTGCATCACCTCCTGTCCATTCATAGTTGTAGTTATAGTAAACATACCATGTCCTCATGTTATCAATGAACAGGAACACTCATAGGGGATTCCTATTTATTGATAACAGGGGATACAGAAAAAGAGATTGAGGACTCTGTGTTCTCAATCTCTTTTTCTATTTTAAAAGGGAAATATCAGGAGTCTGTTTAGACCCCTAATATTTCCCCAAAGCCCCTAAAAGTAAAGTAAAAAATAAAAAGATTTAATAAAAAAAGATTTAATAGAAATGAATTTTAAAAAATTAAAAAGTTTATAAAAAAGAAATAAAAATAAAATATTTCAAAAATTAAAATAAAAACATGTGTGTGTGTGTGGGGGGTGCGGTCCCAGTGGATGTTGATATAATGGAGGGGGGGGCAAAAAAAATTTCGGCCCCGGGCGCCCATAACTCTGGTTACGCCACTGATAAGGGTATATATACTTTTATGTATATATAAATGATGTTACATAGTTACATAGTATTTGAGGTTGAATAAAGACATTAGTCCATCAAGTCCAACCTATTAGGATCTCATTCTAGGAGTACCCGTACCCCTGTATATTACGGTCCCTTAAGAAATCGTCCAAAAGTTTCTTGAACAATTCCACATTATTTGCTGAAATCACCGCCTGTGGCAGTGAGTTCCAGACCCTAACTGATCTTACTGTGAAGAACCCCCTTCGCCCCTTGTGCTGGAATTTTTTTTCCACCAATTTTAGGTGATGGCCTCTAGTTTTTGTAACGGAGTTAATTTTAAACAGTTTATCGCTAATGTTGCTACCACCATTAAACATTTTGTACATGGAAATCATATCCCCCCTTAATCTCCTCACCTCTAATGTGAACATGTTTAAATTTAGTAGCCTCGTCTCGTAGCTCTGGTCCTCCATACCCCTAATTAGTTTGGTTGCCCTTCGCTGGACTTTTTCCAACTCAAGGACATCTTTTCTTAGTACTGGTGACCAGAACTGGACCGCGTACTCCAGATGAGGTCGAACCAATGATCTATAAAGTGGCAAAATTATAGACTTGTCCCTGCAATACATCCCCTTTTTAATACAGGACAAGACCCTGCTAGCTTTGTTTACAGCAGCCTGGCACTGCAAACTACCTTTCAGTTTGTGGTCTACAATGACCCCCAAATCCTTCTCCATTTCTGACTTCCCCAGCGGCATACCCATAATTGTATAACCCATTTGTTTATTTTTAATTCCAAAGTGCATTACTTTGCATTTATCGACATTAAACCTCATCTGCCACATTAATGCCCACTCCCATGTTGCGTACCTGATTCTTATGAGCAATATAGGACTTCATTGCACAGGTTTACCTTGAGGTTTTAATTAGGGATGCACCGATACCAGTTCAGATACCAGTGCCAATACTTAGTATAGTAAACATACCAAGGCGCCCAGAACTCTGGTTACGCCACTGCTACTTATGGCTCTATTATAACAAACTTTAATTTCACTCAGAACTCGAACTACACATGGCATGGAGCAGTCACATTTTCATCACCATCTCCTGCTCTTAGAGCGTTGTAGACGTCCCCCAGCAGCCTGGACATGTGCCACATTCAAGAACACAGTAGTTAGTTATCTGTGGCCTATTTGCTCTTTTACTTTCATTTGCAAGCAACATGTCAAATACTTTGATCATCAATTATATGCAGTATGAGGCAGGACACTGTGGATGTTGAAAATGGCTAGGTTTAAAGGACGTACCTGCTTTGAAGCTGAGCTCATCAGTCTCCTGTCCAGAATAATCATACACAGCTCGAACTCGGACCCCGGGCACGTTTATTGGTGGTCTATTCATACTGTAAACCAATCATAGGGTTCATGTTATAGGTATCAGTATTATTTAATTTATGTAGTTTCTTCCCTGGTTGCAATGTTGTAGATTTAATTTGTTGACAAGTGACCTCATAAGATTACAAGTCCTCTCCTTTACTCTGACAGGAATGGGAGTGAGCAGTTGTGTTGAGCATACACAGTGAAGATGTTAGAGGAAAATAAGTGTGCTGCTAGTCAATTTCCCTACCTCTTGAAATGTCCAGAAATCTTGCATTTACTCGGGGCCATTCCTATAATGGGGCAACCGCCTCAGGCGGCATCTCATTGGGTTATGTTGGGGGAGGGGGGTGGCAGGTGTGCATGCGGTCCCCTTTCCAGCAAGGGCGTCCAAAGTTGCTAAGAGATCTTAGCAACTTTTTTGGGTGTTTTGGGTGTTCTTGCCCAAAAGCAGGCAGAGTAGGATCTCCTCGTAGTTAGCAAAGATATGGCCAGGTAGTATACCTAACTATCCAGCATTCACCAAAAGCTGAAATATCACTTTTGGGGGCTATTATTAGTAGGGGTTTGACATTGTAAAAGTGAGGACAAGTTTGCACCCTGCTCACTATAAGAGAGTTTTGCCAGATTTGTCTCACCTGGTCTCAGTGGGAGTCACACTGTGTAACTTCACGTTATCCTCTTTCACTTTCTTCTTTCTCACTATCTGTTGCTCTATGTCTGGATTCCACTCCTGCAGTGAAGAAATTGATATGTTCTTGTGATGGAAATATATATTGTATATTATTGTAGGCTGATGTATTTTTCCCTCTTTTAATATTTGGCCTGAGATATGTTGTTTACATCCAAAGACGGGCCTGATCTCTGGTCCACTGTCCCTTACCTTGACTAGAAATGACAGCATTGGCTTTTCCTTTTTTTTAGAAAGCTTCTAATAAAGTATTCAAGCCTCAGGCAGCAGTGGATAGCACCTGTAGTGTATTGCGAGTACTGTTGTAGTGTATTGTGAGTACTAATGACAATGTGGGAGTTGCTATCACTGAATTCCCCTAAAAATCCTTAAGGCCTGACTTTCATTCTGATCAAATGGCTTCAATACTTTGAGTCTCTGAGGTATGGAGATCACAAATTCTGACCTCACTTGCTGCATACTTTTTCCAGGTTTGTGACTCTTAAAGCTGAACTGCAGCCTAACCTTCAGTATTGCACAGTTGTACAAGCTCTTCTCCTGTACTGAAAATGCTAACTCTGATTTCACTGCACACTGTGAGTCTCTCTCTCATTTCCTGGCTGAAGGATGTCCAAGATCATCTAGTACTTTCCTCCCCAGCCATGCTGTCCCTGGCTCACTTCTTCCATTCACTGGATTCATTGAACATTTCTGGATGAAAAAGTAAATATCATACCATTTTAAGGTCTAAGGGACAGTTTGGGTATAACAAATAGACTACATTTCTCATATATTAAAAGAAATTGAGTAGTTAAAAGAGATCAAACTCTATTGCTGGAACACCTATGGCTCCATAAAGCATTTGCGTTTTCCACACGGTTTTCTGTGCAGAAGACCACGCGACATGCAAACGCTAAAATCTTTCATCTGCACAGATTCCGCTCGTTTGCGGCTATTACTATAGCTGCGAACATGCGGAATCGGTCAAAGAAAATTGCACTGGGACTATTTTGCAGGCCGCAAAAGTCTGAACAATGCACATTAAAGTGCATTGTTTTTTAATGTTTGGAGCAGCTCTGCATGAATTTGGCTGGCCGAATACACACGGAGAACAGCTCCTGTGTGAATGGAGCTTATAACAAATTGAGTTTGGCGCAAAAAAATCTTCTAAACATAGATGGACTAGGGAAAAAGCTCCCTATTAGATGTTTATATAAATATAATAAGTAGGGATGCACAGATATTTTTCGAGTACCAGTGCAGATACTTGGCATTTTCATGAGAACTACCAGGGTTGCAGCGGTTGCAGCTGGGACCTGGCTCTGGTGCTCCACCACTGTCCTGAAATCATTAGTCTGTATTGTTTTAGAAAAACTGTCACATGACAATGAACAAAAATGTATCGTACTTGTAAGTACCAGTGCTCGTACTCGCAAAACTGGTATCTGTGCATCCCTTTATTTATATTTATAAAAACAAAATCGTACATTAAAACAGAGATGTAATAGTCCCAGGAGCTCCGTGTGCTCCTTACAAATGACAGCGGCCTCCTAATTTTTGAATTTTTCTCTAGTCTCGGAGCTCAAAAGTATCGGTACATGTACTCGTACTTGTACCGAGTACTGTATTTGGTATCTGTGCAACCCTAATAATAAGTAATATGGACTGCTAACCATTAAAAGTAAGGGAACCCTACAATAAAAATGGAGGAGTAGTTTCCCCACTGTAAATAATTTGGGGTAAAAAAAAGGTGCAGAAGACAAATCTGGGAAGCTTTAGAAAAATATAATTGAAATTGGTAAACTGGGTGTTTATTTCCACTGCAGAATATTCTGAATGGAAGGAGGACAGTGATAGTCACTGTCTGAAGTATTGGGCTCCTAATCCAAACCTGGATTATATGTTATTTAGCTGTAGATTAGTGAAAAGGTTCTAGAATAGAGTCACGGACTCAGTGAGTGGCCTGGCGTGGAGACTGTAAGGGCACAATGGCGGCCGCGCGAATGCGCAAAAGCCCAATCTCAGGAAGCACGCTGTAGTGCGCATGCACGAGGTTAGCATGAAGACGCGCTGGAAGACGCGCAGACGGATGGCGCACAGAAAGTGAGGTAGTTGCCTCAATTAGGTGACTATATAAGGATGAGCCTGCCTGCTTCACATTGATGATGGTCTTGTCAGCTTGTGTTGCCTGTGCCTCTGTCGATTTGCCTATGGCTTGTTTGACTTGGATTGCCCTGGACTACCCTTCTGATTGCTGCCTGCCCCAACCTCAGCCTGTTCTCTGGATTTGCTTTTGTCTGATGATTTTGTGCTTCGCTGCCCGGCTGGATCTGATCATTGGCTTCCTCCACTATGACTTCTGGCTCCTGAGTCTGTTCCTACGCTACCCGCCCAGTTTGATCCTTGGCCTGATGAGCTCTCTACAGGAAGTCTCCTGCACGGTGTCTGCTTCCAATCCGTGGCACTTTTACTGGAGACCAGAGAAGAGCACAATGGGGATCGGCTTGGATTGACCCTGCTAGCAGTGAGAATCACAACTTAACTTGGGGAGACATTTCAGGGTACTCTATCTAAGAAGTGAACAGGTTCAGTGATCTGGTATAATTGTAGAAGTATAGGCCACTACCAGCACCACTGCCCAAGGCCACTGAAAGAGGAAGAAAGCTGGCAGAAGCCACAGGGAGACATCTTAGAGCCCTTGCAAAGGTGGTAATCAGGCGTCCAACTACATAAGTTAATTGCAACCTTTAAGTAGAATCCCACCTGATACCTTGGAGAGACAGTTAGACACTTTCTGGGGTATAGGATTCCACTGTTTGAGAACGAATATTCATCAATTTTCAAAGTGTCGTCTGGAGCATCACTTTGAATGTCACAGAAGGAAGAGAAATACAACTTTAGTTGGTCTGACCTGTAACCTCAACCGCTTTTACTTTATTCCCCATTAAACTCACAGGCCCCTCATCTGTGGTGCCTGTTCTAGTAGAAGTAATTCACATGTGAGCTCTCTGCCCAAGCCACTATATCCAGACTTCTATGATAAGTACCTGCCCCCTCCCAAAGCTGAAGGATTTAGAAACTTACAGAATTCGTCATAGAAGTACCCATGTGATGATTACCTGCAGATCAAGCTGTCACTCAGCCCCTTGGTTGTCAGTCAACTAGGAACCTTTGATATGCTATCCATTGTTCCTGACCCCAAGGGTCTACAAAAGGGTCTTCCATTGTGGGGACCAACACGGATTTTGTGAAATGGTGTCACGTACCTGGTTGGAGACTGAATGCGTGAGGAGGCCTCCCTTGCACCTCGTGTCCTGAGGACTCTGGAAGTGGGGACAGAGTCATGGCAGACAACGAGTGGCACGGGTGCCAGTGGTGTTAATACCGTGCAAGCTAAAGATTTGGTTCTGTAGCAGAACTGGGGTAATCTGAAATTCAGGGTCAACAAGCCGAGGTCACACCAAGCGGGCAGATAAGGTACACAAGGATGAGGTGGAGGCAGTCCAGTAAACAATCCGTGGTCGAGGGCAGGAGGCAAGCAAGAATGGTCAAAACAATCCGTGGTTGAAGGTAGGTGGCAGGCAAGATTGGTCAGGGCAAATCCGGGTCAAGACAAACATGCAGGAATCACAGGAAACAGGAATCAAAGGACACAGGAATTCAGGAGGGTTGGAGACAATCCAGCAATATGGAGGTGTGCAGGCAGGCTGAGCTTAAATTGATGAAGTCAATTGATCAAGTGCATAGTTACATAGTATTTGAGGTTAAAAAAAGACATTAGTCCATCAAGTCCAACCTATTAGGATCTCATTCTAGGAGAACCTGTACCAATGCCCATTTTATCCAGGTCCTCCTGTAATGTTATAATGTCTAAGTCCGTGTCTATTACCCTCCCAATTTTGGTGTCATCCGCAAACACGTAAATATCGCTGTGCATCACTTCCTGTGCGCCATTTGGCACGCTTTTCCGCGGCGCACGCAAGTGTCCTCCGAACAGTATGGAAAGCGGGACTTGGCGCATGCGCAGAAGCAGAGGGTTGCTGACAAATGGCTCTTTGCTCCCGTTGCCTATAAATGTGACTCTTTGCCAGAGAGTGTGCATCCCATGTTGTGGCATGTACCAATATCTGGTTCAAGAGCAGAAAACCCCAACAGAGAGAGTCGGAAGGCTACAGTAGCTGTAGAATATAGGGGAATTTTTCAGCCAGAAGAGGTGCCCCTCGAACCTGAGGATAAAGTAAAGACCCAAGGTTTAAGGAAGACATCTTCTTTAAAGCCTCCCAAAAAACGTAGAAATACACCTGAACCCAGAGAACAAAGTGTCAAGCGACCGATTCAACCCCCATGAGACTGACATTTATACAGTATGACTCTAAGGGAAACAGTTCAGAAGAGGCAATTACTACAGTACGCAAATGTGATAACATTTGGTTCCATGTAGATGGAGTTAATTTTTAAGCTACAAATCCTGTTATTTGGGGACCAAAGACCTTTCAACAATCAAAACATCACCCGCTAGCCCTAAATCATTCTCAGCTCACCTCTATTTGAGGCCAATTCATTAACATCCCAGGGCCATGCCGGTTCCTCCACCACTTCAAATCTTCCTGGTCGCTGACTGCCATAATGGCCTGGTTCAAGTCGCCATAGACAGTCATAATGCTGTAAATACAACAAAGTCAGTAACTGTTTATGGCAATATCATACATACTACCTGTGGAATAGATTTCAACCTTAAAACATTTTCTCAGTCACATTAAAGCATATCTAAACCAAAAAAAACAAAAATGTAAGGTGATGGCTGCATTAGTTTATTTTTTAAGTTTTTTTTCCTTTATTTTCAACTGGTAATCCTGCCAGTAACCCTCATCACACTGTATCTATGGAGGAGCAGTGTTGCCACTGCAGGCTGATTTTTTTATTTGGCTACACAAAACCTCCCCCTTTCCTTACATAGGAAGGAGGGATTGTATAGTTCCCAGTAGATAGCTTGAGAAGCTGAAAACATTATTTCATGTTTCCACTGATTTCAGTTGAGATTTCACTAGTGCTTTTTTATTGGCATTGCTATTAAAGCCCAGTTTCTGAAAGAACTCCGCTTGACTTATATAGTCACATTGATTCATCTATTAAGTATTCAAGACTTTATGGGATCTCAGTTTGGTCTTGTCAGCCCTTCAGGGTACACCCTTTAAAGTGGAAGTAAACTTCTAATAGAACAAAAGAAGGGACCCCAGAAGCTGCAGCAGTAATCCTCAACAGCACTGCTCCCCTGAGTCACTGGTGCTTCCATCCTTGTCCAAGTCCCCTTTCGGGTTCCATGAGTGTGCACTGAGCTGTGCATGCATTTCTCAGTGCACAGTTGTAGAGAAAAGTCCTGACAGGCAGGGAGAAACTTCTTGTCAACACTTTTGACAATTTAGGCTTAACTTCCACTTTAGGCTGTTATGTGAAGTACCTTTTAATATCCTCCCCCAGAAGGTTGCCTTTCTGGTTAACATCACCTTGGTGGGGAGAGGGTCAGAGATGGTGGCTTCATTCCACATTAACCCTGCCCTCTTTTTGCCCATCCCCGCCCTATACAAATGAGATCACTCTTTACTGTCTGAATGCGATTAGAGCAATCAAGATCTACCTGAACTGAAAGGTGGATTCTCATTTTGTCATATCTAAAGGCTAAGGGATCTCTGGTGACCAGGGTGACAATCGCAAACTGGATTTGTCTGAGAATTTTGCAGGTGTGTTTGGCTAATGACACTTTGCAGAGCATTTCAGTATTGGGCACTACTCAATCTTGCATCAAGGGAAGGCACTGGAAATCAATACCTACCCAGACACACTGCAAACTCACAGACTTCAATTTTTTCTCCCACTAACCATGATGCTGAGGCATTCTATCTACCACTGGTCACTTAAACTGGGATACCCTACCTTACACTGACTACCGAAGCTGGGGAGATCTGCATTTCACGAACCACCAATGCTGAGGTATTTATTCTCCCAATGACCACCAACCCTGGGACATTCTTTCTCCCACTGACTAATGATGCTGCAGGGCTCTTTCTCCCACTGATACCGGAACATTTTTAATTGCCAACTGGGGCAATTTTACTAAGGGGCAATTCTAAGCTCAGAAAAAAACAAGCAAATTCTGTGCAAGAAGCAATCCTAGCAGCAGAATGTTGCTTTGACTGTACTGGTTGTGTCAGTACAGACTGTACTGGTTGTGTCAGTACAGTACTGATCATTTCTTTACAGACATGTTTTTGGTTGTGTCAGTACAGTACTGATCTTGTCTCTGTTTGTACAGTAATGCTTGCCTCCCTGGTTGTGTCAGTATGGTATTAATTGGGTATCTATGGGCATGTTCCTGGCTGTGTTAGTATGGTAATGATTGTATGACTTATGAAGTATTTCCAAGACTTACAAAATTATAACAGTAACAATATAGCCATATTGTTACTGTTATAATTTTGTAAGTCTTGGAAATTTCTTTTTGGTGCTGTGTGTGTGTGTGTGGGAGGGGGGGACAAAATAGTTTGCCTAGGAGAAAAAGTATAAATTTGGCCTTGTGAGTGTTTCCGTACTATTGGCCACTCAGCTCCTAATTTATATAGTATAAGAAATGTAAGCACTCCTTTCCCTGCCTCTGCCACTCCCTCTTTCTGGTAGCTTACCTCTCATTATTGGTAATGTCAAGGTGTTTGTGTATCGATAGCAGTGCTTGTTTGAGAAAGAGTATTTTCTTCTGCTCCAGTTGCTGGCTTTGGTCAAATACAGTTTCCATTTCTTCCATATACTTGGGATTATATTTATTGAGTTCTTGTAGGGCCTTATCGTACCTTTGCCTTACCTATACCAGTTATAAAGAAGAAAATAAAGTTCAATCAGTGTGTATATTAAAGCCTATCATGCATTCTAATGTGTTTACAAACCATGCCTAGAAATGCTAAAAAGCAACTAAAGGTGTAAACAAAACTGTAGAACAGCCCCAAGGGCCTATATAAGCCCTCCCACACTAGCCATGCTTCAGTCGTAGCAACCTAGTATGGAAACAATGGCCATAACCCATGAGGGGGAGGGGACCGGTGTCCCTCCCTTAACTCTGAGAGAAGGAATTTACAATAAGAAAAAAAAATATGATTCTTCTATCATGTGTTTAGGGACACAGAATCCAATATAATGCCACAGGATATAAAAAAGCAGTACCCAGAAGAAGGACAGGTAACCCGAACAATAGGAATGAGCACACCACCTAAACCAAAAGTGAGAAGATTCACTGTGACATGGCAGAACTGAAAGCTGGAGAGCCCCTCTGGGGACCCTCCGGAAATGCAAAAAGGATATCACACATCCTAAGAGCAGTCCTGGAATTCAGATAGATCTAAATAGCCTGGACAACTTTCGGACAGTGGAGTATATTTCTCCCAGGTGCTCAGGATGACAACATGATGGATGTCCTCATTGAGATGAAAGGCTTAGATCACTTTGGGTACAAAAAAACACCCTGTTTTTATGAAGACCCAGAAATGTTTCCCCACAGAATAATGCAGCCAGTTCCCAAACTCTGCTGACTAAGTGATTGCCACAAGTACGTGATTGCCACTGTGTGGCAAAGGAAAATAGGGAAATCTCCCAGTTTGGTTTGAAAGAGGTCTGCTGAATTCTTTACTTACCCCTTCTGGCATTAAAGAATTTCTGCAATTGAGAGATTCTAATGCTATTCCCCCTTGTGAAAAGTACCGTTACCTGCAAATTAGTAATTTTGTTAAATCTTTAGTGAAAAATAACTCCTCTACCATGACGTTGACACCATTTGAGAGATGCTGTCACTCTAACCTATATATATCGGGTATTATTTCTTTAATTTATTCTTTCTTACTGTCCTCTTTCACCCTTTTGCTACTTATCAGCATAGATGGCAGGAAGAATTGGGTAGATCGTTATCTGCTCAGGGCTGGCAAGCTATTTGGGGGTCTACAGCCTGTTGCTCTCGTAATGTGCTGGCAGTTGAGAGTTCTTATAAAGTGTTATTTTGATGGTACTGTACGCCGGCCTGCCTTGCAAAGTTCATTCCGCTGTGCTCCCCCAACTGCTTTAGAGGTTGCTTGGAGCCTGGCACTACGCTCTACATCTGGTGGACCTGCCCGCAGGCAGATAAATTATGGATTAGGGTTTACAATTTGATTTGCCTTGAAGGAACGCTTGCGAGGCGTTATTACTGAAACCCATAGACTGTAGATGTCATGAGCACACCAGCACGACACAATCCAAGTCAGTGCAAATCCATTTTATTGATAGATGTCACTCAAATATCAAGCACTTTCTGGGCCGCATAGGGTCCCCTTAATCAAGCTCACAAATGACACTGTGTTTTTCATTTTTATTGTTTCATTTTAAGCAATGTTAAAATCACTGCTCCTTTAAAAACTGTATTTTTTAAAAGTGTTTTTTGCATTGATACATGTCCCCCAGGGCAGTACCCAAATCCCCATACCCTTTTTATTGCCATTAATGTGCATATAAGCCTTCAAAAAGGGGACAATTTATTTTTCAAGTTCAGGTACCATAGACTTGCATTGAGTTTGAGTTCTAACTTTTTCCATGTTCTAAAATTCGAATTTGAACTGAACATGGGGGTGTTCGGCCCATCACTAACAATGTTATGGCTGTTCAGTGTATATTGCTAATAATGTTTTCGGTCAAGCCCACAGTGTATAAAACAATGTTATTTGCATGACATCATAACTACACATACTGTAGATGTAAAAGGGTAGTAGTTACAAATATGAATGGGACAACATAGCTTACTTAAAATAATTAGCTCCATCTCACCTTGTCCTTGTCCTGTTCAAATTTTTCACGATCTTCTGTGAGCTTCTTCTGCTTGTCTAGAGAAAATTCTGGGTTGATCTTTCCATTGTTCTCTCTGACACTTGCTAAATGTTCCTTTTTGCATGCTTTGTGGTATGCTGCCTTTGCCTTCTCAAGCTGCAGAAAGATTACAACACAAAATGCTTCATAACAGGGGATTACCGATGAGCAACATACAAGGGTCACATCTGCAACCAGGCCCAGAGGGGATAGTGGTCTGCTGCTAGGACACCCAGATGCAACTGACTATTATTAGAGCACCGCAGCACACACCTAACCCTACTTAGATTATACTTAAGGTACATGTGAAGAAAACATTGAGCCAAAATGGTCTTCATGTGTATGGATAACATGGTACAGACCCAGTGTCAGGAAGCCAAGTTTGGCCCTTGTGCTCGGAATCCTGCACAGGCACCTGCACAGGTGCGTGGGCATAGTTTGGCTCACAAAATTGAGCACCGCCGGGCGCCTCTGTGCAAACATGCGCACATTGTCTCACAGCATGCGTGCAGATCTGCGTGTTGTGAATTTTCTCCCTAAATGGGCTATTTAAGGCTGTGACATTCTAGCCTTCAATGCTGACTGGTCTTCAGCTGTTCCCTGTATCCTGAACCCAACATCCAGACCCTGATCTTCTGGTGTTTGACCAGGCTTGGCTGACTATTCTGATGCTCTTCTGGATTTCCACGACCTCGGCTTGTTTCTAACCACGCTCCTGTCTGCTGTTCTGTACTTCGCTGCCCACAAGTTGCTGATCCGGCCTACGTCTTGTCCACTTTCCTGGTACCTCGCTGCTCGACTGTCACAGGTCCGACTTGTCTTGGACTTCATTTCTACCGGCACTCATGCCTCTCCTGTCCTTTGCACCTGTTCCACTTCCAGTGGTTCTTTGACTGGAGCCTCAAGTGAGGCCTTCCTCGTTAACTTAGACTCCTGTAAGGTACGTGGTTCTGACACCCAGTTTACTGTTCTTGTGGAAATAGTTGTTCAGCTAGGTAGTTTTTGTTTTTCTCAAGCTAACTCAAGCTAACTCGGCCTCCTGAGGTTTTACATACTGTTTCTCACAGATAGTGTAAAAAAATATTATTCCGCAGTTTGATTGTATTCTTTGCATACCACTGATGTATCTAGCCAGCTCTACCTTGAGGTGCAGTGCAGAGCCTATTATTTTCTACTGTGTGATACAGGAAGGTAGTGTTAAGAAACAACAGAAGCTCCCTGTGACTCTACAGATACTCCTCTGTCAATTTCCTATCTTTACCTAGTGCAGAAAATCAAAACTATATTTTCCAAGGCAGTCTCCTCCTCTTGCTGCATACTATGCTGCTGCCTGCCTTAAAAAATATCTTAAACTTTTTATATATGTCAGCTTACCAGTCTCCTTAGATGTGGTGGCTACATTTGCTTTTCTTTTTTCAAGGACATTTTCAGCAAGGACAGAACATACAGAACCTGTTGCCCTTGCCTAAATTTAATTGTCCTGATCACTTCCTGTGAGCTCAAAAGAAACCACAAACATCCTTCTTATTTGTGTGTAAACAACTAGTCCTATCAAGCCATCATGTAATGACGATGAACAAAGGCAGACATATTTAAAGTACAGCCTGTGAGACAACAATGGCCTCCTCCATAGATACAGTGAAGCACTGGCGGAACTACCAGGGTCGCAACGGTCGCAATTGCGACCGGGCCCTGGCGTTCCGCCTGTTGGGGGGGGCCCGAAAGCTTCCTCATGCCCCCCCCCTCCAGATAGCGCCGCTCCATCCTCCGCCGCTCTGCATGTATGAGCGGCTGTGCGGGATAGAGAGGCGCCTCTGTGTGTCACTTGTCTGCCTGGCGCGGCCGCTACCGACACAGCAGGTGCCGCCAGGCAGCACATTCTTCAGCTGGGACTGGGAGAGGACGGACCCTCTTCAGGGAGCCAGTAGCCGATGGCAAAGTCAGCCCAGTTCTCCATGGACCCAAACCCCTCTTTCCTACACCAGTTCCGCAGCTTGTTCAGCTTTCTTAACTCCCGCTGTCTCTCTGGTGGGGCTTGTGGCATCGGCAGCATTTCAGAAAATATTACCTTGGAGGTCATTTTCTTTATCTTGGCACCTAAGTCCTTCTTTAGGACACTCCATCTTCCTCTAATTTTCTAACCAATGTGCTATTAGTACCAATGTGTACCATGACAGCCCCACCTACTAACATGTTCACCTGTTCTGCAATGTGTCGAACCCAAGCGCCTGGCAAAAACAGCAGACTGTTCGCCAATCAGTCTCTGTGACAGATTACCTTGTCTGTCTTTCAGATAACAGCCCCACACTACCAGCATCTGTCTCTCCTTTCCAACCTTTCTGCTTAGGCAATGGTAAACATTAATTGGAAGTCTAGAAATAATATGAGCATGTGAAAATATGTCTATTTATCAAGGCCAGTTCACACTAAGACAAGGCAAATTTATTTGTCACGTATGAGCTCGGTTCACACCACGGCGTTCTGGTGGTGTGCGCTGAAAATAAGTACGACATGCAGTACTAATTTTATATTTATTCACATTATAATGTATTGCTGGGACTTGTAGTCCTGCATAGTTGGAGCTATTCTGCATTACTGTATAATGATTATACAGCAATACAGAATAGCACCAACTATGCAGGACCACAAGTCCCAGCAATACATTATATTATTAAGTAGGGATGCACACATGTGTGTGTGTTTTGGGGGGGGGAGGGGGTTAAAAAGCTGTTATTATTTACATTATAATGCATTGCGGGAACTTGTAGTCCTGCATAGTTGGTGGTATTCTGCATTGCTGTATAATCATTATACAGCAATGCAGAATACCACCAGCTATGCAGGACTACAAATCCCAACAATACATTATATAAGTAAGTTGGGATGCACCAGTGCCAATACTGGGTTTTTTCACACGTACATGTGAAAATGCCCCATATTAAGCGCAGGCAAAATTACCAGGGTCACAGCGGTCGCATTTGTGACTGGGCCCTGGTGTTCGGCCAGTTGGGGGGAGCCCAGGGAGAAAGAAGAGGGCCCGCCACACGCAGTGTTTTTGACACTTGCGGACCGCAGTTCAGACAGAGGGATGGGGAAGACGAGGGATAGGGAACTCCATTTGCATGCACTATTTTTTCTGACCGCAACGGAACGCAGGCATTGATTTGCCATGCGTTCCGGTCCAGGCGATCACACCGCGGTGTGACTTTAATGCACCGCCACGTCCCCCCCACCCCCACCCCAGAACGAAGTGAGCTGGACGGGTTGCAATCCAGTGTGTTCCAGCACTAAATCGGCCGGAACACACTGGAGCTGGTGTGAACTAGCCCTGAAAAAAAAATGGTTTCTTGCACCGGGGCCCTGGGGTTTCTAGTTACACCTCTGCAGTGAAGTGAGTGAGTGTAGCCATGCTAGGACAGGGAGCGTGCTATTTGCAGGGCCACCAGGTGAAAACTGAAGAAAAGAAAGCTTGAAAAAAGAAAACTAATGAGGCCAGCACATCTAAGGGCTGGTGAGCTGTAATATATTACATTTATGTTTCGGGGTTTAGATACACTTTAATTTCACAGAACAGGCAGCTGCACCCCCTAAACCACTCAGTTTTTTCTATAGACCCTTGCAGTAAAATACCAAAACTCCAAAGATACCAGCCCTTACCCCAACTCCTACCTTCTTTAATTTCTTTGCCCATGGTTTTTGTGCCTTGTGGAAGCCATTATCTATCTCACAGGACTCCTTGAAGCCACCAAATATCTTACGGCGATAGGTTTCCTTTTGCCAGTTGTGTATTCTGTCAGTGTCATCTGTCATCAATGTCTTCTGGATTTGCACATGTAGCGCACTGAGCTTTTCTGTGGTCATCATAAAGGATTTCCAGGCACGCAAGAGAGAGCCATACATGGGGCCTGGGGGCAAAGATGATGTTCACATATTATTTGGTTCAATGCAGGTAGATTATATTAAAGTGACATTGAATTCAGGAGTAAAATCTTAAAAATACATTCAAGTACCTTAACTATTAACAAAAATGTAACTTATTTGTGTGTCACGCTGTAGATCCTCAAATCATCTCTGAATGTGTGCTCACACTGTCCTTCCTTCTGGAGGGTGACTACTTTTGTTTTCCATGGTCCCTGTGTGTTGTAAAGTAGTCACGACTCCAAGCTCGCTCCCGGGATCGACAACAATCCCACATTTTGTTTACTAATTTGTATTGATATTATAGTATATCACAGGAGAGAGCTTAGGGCGGTGGGTACTTTACAACACACAGGGACCATGGTAAACAAAAGTAGCCACCCTCCAGAAGGAAGGACAGTGTCAGCATGAATTCAGAGTTGATTTGAGGATCACAGACATACAGCTGGTTGATACACAAATAAGATACTTTTTTCTTAAGAGAGACTTGAATACATTTTTAAGATTTAACAACCAAGTTTAATGTCACTTTAGGTAATAAATATGCACATATAGTTATTTAACTGCATTTTCCTTTTAGTTCTAGTTTTGGCCTACAAAACTCCCAAAGCCTTTTGGTGACAAGAGGTCTTCAAAGTGGCTTGTGCTAAATGTTTTGTTAGGTATCTATGTAACTCATGCCTCAAGATGTTGAGAGCTGCAAATTTCAGAACATGTACCAAGAACTAATTTTAAGTTTCTGTATATGTTTCAGCACGAATTACATAAAAATGAAAAAATAATGGTACTTGTATACCTACTGGTGTTTTAGTAGACCTTACAACAGTAAATTATAAGAGGTTGTTTATCTTTAAATCTTTCTTTATCATTGTTTAAATGTGAATATTTATTTTTTACTTATTAGCTAGAGAACAACTTGATTCTCCTGTTTCAAAGATCCCAGCAGATCAAGCAAATTTGAGGTTAGCAGATAGAATCCCCAATGAACTAGCTGACCTACCAGTTTGTTCCATTTTTTTCTTTAGGCCTCATTCATATGAGGCTTTTGTTGGTTATGTGTTTAGATGAAGCACTGAGATCTTGAGGAATGCTGAATTAAGTTTTACTTGCTTAGAAGAATATTACATCTAAATACAGCACTGTGGAGGAAACAAATACATAGAAAAACAGCTTCCTGTGTATCATAGATAAGCATGCACATAGAGAGTAACAATGCACTACACTGTCATCTACAGCTCAAAATACATTTAACCCCTCCCTTTTTATCTCTCTTAACCCAGACTATACTATAGTCCCCTCTAACCCTATACCCCTGTTCTTTCCCTTCTATCTTTCTACTTTGCCTCTCTCTACCTTTGGCTAGCACTGGTCTGTCCAGTTGGACTGGCCCACACGCCTAAACGATGGTGGATTGTAACTGTTGAATGCCAAAACCACCCAATGCACACTGTATTAGCTACCATAACTTCTGATGTTCCATTATTCTACGCCTGACATCTGTATTGGACGCATTACGCTCTGGTTTTTTTATGCCAATAAAAACGTATTGAATTAAAAGACATTTAACATCAGAATGTCAGTAATCTGCTTTTGCATTTCCAGCACCTATAAGGTCAACAGCAGATTATTGCAGAAGGAATCACAGGTGGTTCTGGACAGATGCGGCTGTTCAACTTGGGCAAGCAAAACAAATGACAAAAGCACTCATCAATTCGTCACCAGCTCTACAGCAAGGTGCACACAGAATGAGCTTTAAACAGTAAAACAGCAAAAAGTTTTCCTGGCACACTCACAAGCTAGCATGTAAAAAAAAAACCTGTCTCACCACTAGGGTTAAAAACAGAGGTTTGGATACACGTCTTCTGCAGAAAATGTGAAAGCCGCACACCCGGGCCAAGGCACCTCTTATAGTGCGGTCCTAACTCTAAACTATGAGAGTCTCCATCTTGGAGCACATGGGTCAGAAGATAGAATTGGGTGCAGGTTTGTCAGGAGGAAGCCCAACCTCCCTTAAAGGCACCTCCTTTAGAGCTAGGACCACAGTATAAGAGGTGCCTTGGCGAGGCTGTGCGGCTTTCACATTTTCTGCAGTAGACGTGTATCCAAACGTCTGTTTTTAACCCTAGGGGTGAGACAGGTTTTTTTGCATGCTAGCTCGTGAGTGTGCCAGGAAAACTTTTTGCTGTTTTACTGTTTAAAGCCCATTCCGTGTGCACCTTGCTGTAGAGCTGGTAACGAATTGATGACTGCGTTTGTCATTTGTTTTGCTTGACTGATTTGGTGCAGTGATGCATGGGGGGTCTCAGCTGCCATTGGGATGTGCGGGATCCCTTGTGCGTTCCTGTGCCTTTAAGGGAGGTTGGGCTTCCTCCTGACAAACCTGCACCCAATTCTATCTTCTGACCCATGTGCTCCAAGATGGAGACTCATAGTTTAGAGTTAGGACCGCACTATAAGAGGTGCCTTGGCGCGGCTGTTCGGCTTTCACATTTTCTGCAGAAGACGTGTATCCAAACCTCTGTTTTTAACCCTAGTGGTGAAACAGGTTTTTTTACATGCTAGCTTGTGAGTGTGCCAGGAAAACGTTTTGCTGTTTTACTGTTCAACTTGGGCGTCCCTTGTGTGAATGAGGTCTTCATATAAAAAAGTAAATACAGAAAAAAATAAAAGGTAACAGCACCTGCAGTCTATCAGCTTGGCACACCAAGCATTTAGTCTGGTGCCCCATAGCAGGACGTCTGCAAGCATGTACACTCTGTGATTATATATATATATAGAACTTCATGACAGAAAGTATAAAAAAATAATGCTCTTAGACCACCACCCCAGTAAGAACTTTTAACTCATTACTTATTTTTAATATTATCAATATATTTTACAAATAATTCAAATCAAACAGGAAGGTGACATGTCCTTTATAGTTCAGCTACTCACTGCTGTCTATTAGTGGTTTCCATTTGCGTGTCCAATCATCCATTTGCAGAGCGTACTGCTTCTCTATTTTGGCTCTGTCTTGGAAACAAGCTATGATGTCATCACACAGCCTAAAGCCATCTTCCGTCCTCTTTACTGTGGTGCCGTAGTTGTTAGGCTGGGAAATGGGGAGACAGTAGCAATGTTAACGCAGCTTGGTATCATATTTCTGACCTAGGAAAGGGCACCCACTGTGTGCTAAATGTTGTAATTGTGTGGTCTTTCGGTCAATAAAAACAGGTAACTCATCATTCCCATGCATGAAGAACAAATATGAGGTCATCTGCACATAATTTAGGGCCATTTTTTAAAAACTGCATTATGTTTTTATATAACTAATATATTTACTGATATTCATTGTATGTAGTTATAAATAGTTTTTAAAAAATAGAATGTTATGATGTAATTTAATTTAGTGAACAGACACCCCTGAACCTATAAGACATCCTCCATGGGATATATTGGATGACAACCAGTGGTCTACAGATACTGCCTTAGTTGTCTTAAGAAGTTCCTGCTTTGAAATAATGAAATAACAACAACAACAATAATAATAATAAAAATCAAATCATTTTCATTATTTCTAAAACACAGTTTAATAAAAATGTAGACAGTGTATTTATTTCATAATAATCAATCATTATTTATTGGTCATTTAATTTTCATACCCATGATTTTTATATATACCAGCCCTGTATTGGTTGTGTAGTAGATCCTGGACCAGGGGTTCGTACCTTTTTATGGTTACAGACCCCCAATGGTTTGCTCAATATGTCCCTGCACCCCATTTGCCAGACTGTCAAAATCATCATTATCAACAGTCCAACGAGTAAGATTTTAAAAGACTTGAAATAGCTTGGTTTTACTTTAGATGGTTTATATATATAATTAAGTAACAGCACCTTTAATTCACTTAAAATTATAATGTACTGCCACCAGCCATCCTATAAGTCCTATATTCATGAGTCGCTCACAAAGCTACTTGTCAACATTTTCTAAGCCGATCCGTGTAAACCCTCTATTAGTTCCAATGAATAATTTGCATGCCACTGGAGCATGGATTGCAAACTTTCCTTATAGTTACTGCTCAGCGGGCCCAGCTTTTTTGCCCAAGATTTTGCCAAGTGGCTTGACAGTTTGTATGCAATATCTCAATGAAACAGGGACGGGATAGTATGAGACTTGAAGATGTGGCTGGCAGCAGGGAAGAGTATATTTTAAGTGTAACTACACCAGAGATCTAGTCCCATATTCCTTTTTGGTCCCAGACACCCAAGGAATATGAACACTTTCAGTTGAATAAGAATGAGTAAGAATCATGTCCTAAACTCACCATCCAGAAGCTGTCATTGGTGTTGTCATCACCTGCAACTTCACTGTAAATCACTGACATGGCCTTGTTCTATTCTTCTGTGTAAAGATGTCTGCAACAAAACACACATTTGGCCATTAAACTAAAACTAATCCACAGCTAGAAGGTTCAACATACCATAGGTATACAGTAAAGTGACACTAAACTGAGTAGTAAATCTTAAAAATGCATTCAAATACCTTAACTATTAACAAAAGTGTAGCTTTTTTGTGCATCACACGGCTCCAGAGCCTCACAAAAATCTCTGAATTTGTGCCTACACTGTCCTTCCTTCTAGAGGGTGGCTACTTTTGTTCCCCATGGTCCCTGTTTGTGTTGTAAAGTAACCAACGCTCCAAACTCACTCGCGTGATGGACTTCAATCTGAATACAAATGAGTAAACTAAACATGAAATTGCAGTCTATCACGGGAGTGAGCTTGGAGTGGTGGCTACTTTACAACATACATAGGCACCATGTGCTCTGTCCCTTTTGATCTTGTACTAGGCAGGAATTTCAGGGAACTTTAGCTGAGAGTTGGAGCCAGCTGGAAACATGACTAAGTGGTTGGGCAAAAATGTAGGGAAATACTTTGCTGGAATGTATATTTCTTTGATGTGGATTCATTATTGAATCCTTCCAGTTGCCAGTTTGTAAATATTTATATTAAATACAATAACAAAAATATGTAAGAACAAGCATGTAAAAATATGTAAGTTACATAAAAAAAGAAACAAAAAGACTGCAATAATTATTGAAAATACATGCGTACCAGAAAAATATATAATGTTTTCCACTTAAAGGTAAATTAATACTAATATATTTGTATATATTTTCATTTGTTATTTTTGTCAGGTTTATTAAAGAAAAAATTTAAAAATATTATACAGTATTTTTCTATTTTGTATCTTTTGCCACCAGGTGGAGCTCTCATCTCTATGGAAGAGACAAAAGTAGAGAAAGAAGATTGCTTGAGGTAGAGAAGTGTTCCAAAATCACATGACCCCAAGTAGGGTTAGGTTTTCTAGTATCCATTGTACACTCCAGTACAAAATCTCTTTATGATTAGGTCAGTGTTCCTTAAGCAAACAGCTTTTTCAACACACTTTAGTGTTTTTTTCTTAGCCAACGTAAAATTTAGTACTACAGCTACAGACTGGAAAACCCACGCATTTGTGTTAATAAACTATACTCTACATCAGAGGTAGGTAACCTTGGCACTCCAGCTTTTGTGGTACTACAAGTCCAATGATGCATCACAAAAAACTCTGACAACCAACAGACATGACTCCCAAAGGCTGAGTCTTAATGGAATTTGTAGTTGATAGAACCTTTTTTTAGATTTAGGGTGCTCAAAGCGCAGCATTGACTTGTTGCTGACCGTCTGCCTTTGGAGCTGCCTTTTGTTTGCTGCATCATTTGAAAGAAAAAAAAATAAGTGCAAGAACAGTGTGCTCCTAAGGCAACTCACATTATATCACTCACATTCACTGCACCCCACTATCCCCATAAGATAATTAAAAGTTCAGCATACGATGTCAGTTCTCCCTAGACTGCTCTTTCTCTTCCAGATGCTTCCCATAGCGGTCCCTCACATGTTTTTCCGCCGTCTCCGTAGTCTTTTTTCAGACTTTGTGTGGCGGAAACATAAGCCCAGAATTGCATTCTCCATTCTGAGGAGAGTGAAATTGCCTGGCTCATGCACCATGGTTACTACCAGAGTTCAGGGGGTTGGCCGCCACTACCTCCCCGCTCACCTCCCACACACTGCGGCTCTTGGACTGCATGAACAAACAGAGACAACTGGCGCCCGCTATATCCCCCCTGGCCCCGGTGGGTGGGTTCCCCTGGTTTCCACCGGGTGAGAGCTTGACGTATCTTGGCGGTTGGGTGGGAGATGGACGTGTGAACCTCTCTAAATTCCTGAATGGCTCTGCGCTGATGCCCCTTGAGGAGATGCATCAGAAATGGGGGTCGTATCCGTTCGACTTCTGGAGGCACAGACAGCTTTCGCACTTTCTGCGCTCACTAGAGTCCGGAGTGCGGCCCCTTAACTCTGCCACTCCATTCGAGGAACTGTGTGCCGCAACAGAGCCGCCCCCCAGGTCCCTCTCCCTGCTCTATAAACTCTTGTTACAACAGGACTCTTCGAGTCCACTGCACTTCCTGGCAGAATGGGAGGGCGACATGGGGACACGGTTCTCGGAAGCGGAATTGGCCAATATTCTTAAATATACTCACTCTTCCTCCATAGACTCTAAGGTCCAGGAGACAAACTATAAGCTCCTCACCCGGTGGTACAGGGTCCCCCACAGCCTGCACCGTATCTACCCTTCCGTGTCACCGCTATGCTGGCGCAACTTTGGGATGTTGGGCACGCATCTCTATATTTGGTGGGACTGCCCTGCAATCCAACCTTTTTGGCAACAAATCCAGGCTGAAATTAAAGTACTCATGGACATAGACTTACCTCTCACACCAGCCCCCTTCCTCCTTCACTCAATACCTAGATCAGTGACTAGATACCATTCCAGTCTTCTCCCCCATCTCCTAAACGCGGCCAAGCGACTGATTCCCCGCTACTGGAAGAAGACAGCGGTCCCCACGATGGAGGAGTGGAGCGAGCAGGTGTCGGGCATCCAGGCTTCTGAGGAATGGCTGGCCACGAATAATGGTAGATATGATAAACACTACTCCACATGGGCCATGTGGATGCATCACCATCCACCATGATGACATGGGGATTTGAGGTCTTTACTGGCAGAATGTTTTTTATGATCTTCCTGCATTTTAGCTCCACACTTCTCATACTTACAAGAGAGTGAGGTGTACATGCCGGATCTTTTTGATCGTTGAAGAGCTCTGGAATAGTGAGGGCTCCGCTCGTGGATGGCCGCAGACCAGGGGTACACCCTTCCCCTTCTTCCTAACTTTCCCTCTCCACACCCTCCCTTCCTACCCCCCTTGTCCTCCCCTCCCCCCTCATTTCCACTCCGGAACTTAATGCCTAGTTATTCTTGATTACAGAATCTTGTTCATATGCACTTTTCTCACTGTGGCCAACTCGCAAGACCGAACGGTACAAAGCTGTCAAGTATCCGCATGTTTTTGTCACCCCGCCAACCCCTATCCATGTTTTCCTATGTGCCTTTCTATTTTGTTTTATTATGTTGTTTATTAATGCAAAACTGAAAAATAAAGAATATTAAAAAAAAAAAAGTTCAGCATACACTGGTTAGGCCTATTCTCCATGATTAAAATTATACTTGCCAATTTTACACAATTTTATCCTTAACAACTTTATCATCTACACCGGAGGGTCTTAATTCTTGTATGAAAACACCTACATGTGCCTTGTGTCTCTACATTTCGGCCTATTCTTACTGTCCTGCTGCAGGGCAATTTATACACAGCTCTAAGATTTGCTTTTGCATCAGTGAGAACTGGGGACAGAATCAACAAAACACTGGCTGGTTTCTATTCACTAAACCGTACCTATGGCAAATGCAACCCAGGCAGTTTCTTTTATCACTACTCAGGGAGTGATGACAAAGATTCTCGGAAAAAAGCTGGCCATATGTTATGTTTGACATGCTGCTAAAGCCCATTTCCACCTTTTGCAGAGGTATTTTTTTTATTAAAAAAACATGCCACCAATGTACACTGAGTGTACATGAAGCAGGCATATGCATGCAGTTGCTGTATATGAACACATAAACTTATGTTTTTTGTTAGCTTTCCTCTTCATATCTTCATGGGAATGGCCACTTCTGTGTTCTGCAAGCAATCTCTGTATATCACAACTGAGCTCTCTCTGATCTCTCGACCCCCCCCCCCTTCGTTAGTATTCATAGTGGCCAACCCCCTCTGGACTGTGTATTGTGTGCAAAGGCAGAGCTTTTGTTTAGTGATCATGTTACACAGAATCACAGGGCGGAGGGCAGCTGTTTATAGGCTGCTTTATAATCTGACCCCGGTGTCAGACCGAGTTTCCTGTAGAGAAAATTCAGAATTTTTAGGAATCAGGCCTAATACATAGTTCCTAAAAAATGAAGAAAGCCTGCAATGTGAGTCATGAAAATGTGCACCACTTACAAAGGTGGAAATGGACGTTAAAGTTTAAGTATACAAACACACACTTCTCTGAACATTAAAATATCTGGCATTCCTGAATGGCCGTATTCATGGAGGCCTCCAGCGGTCACTCACAGTATGGCTTACCCATAATAGAGCATGTGGTGCACATGCACGGTATAGAGAGGAGCTGGCCAGAACTGTGGTGAAAGAGAAATCACTGGAACAGTAACGACGGTAAGTATCAGACTAGGCTGCCTGCGCTGGTGTGGGGTGGGGGAATTTTTTTTAAGATTAACTTCACTAAAGGTGAAGTCTTCTTTTAGGAAGCATTTAGGAGACTTGAAGAATATATTTTGCTACTCTTGTAGGCAACACATACAGCTTCAAGTAACATTTTGTAAATGGGTTCTACTAAGATATATTACACATGAAAAAATCAAGATATAAAAACCATGAGGGTACCACCGATATCCTAAGATGACTGTAAAGATCGCTCAAACAATTTTAACAGCAAAGTAGCTACCATTGCATTTGCACAATATAAAGGTCTTTATTTACAAATATGGAAGGGGGGCAACTTTTTTAGATATTATTTCATTTTATGTAAAAGTTTTGTTACCACAATAAATAAGTTTTTTTATTTCTTCACTTCAGAACCTGGCTGAAGGTGTTTTGTTTACTTTGAGTGTTAAATCATATTCAAGATGAGGATTTTAAGGAGTACATAATTATATAACATTGTTCATTCATTGTTAACTGCACCTTGATGCACAATTGCAACCAAAATGTATGGGTAAAAAGTACCATGAGGGGAATTCATCAAAACTGGAGCAACCAATGGCAACCAATCAGTTTCTCTCTTTCATTTCCAAAGCTTAACTGATCAAACTAAAGAGAGAAGCTGAAACGCAAAAAAGCACATACACAGGTATGCATTGTTGCCCCCACACAAGTGTTAACAGGGGCTATAGGTTGCTTTATTGCATTAGTTGGTTT